TCTGTGTTCTGGGTACACTGGACTATCCACCAAGGTTTGATGGAGAAGCCTGTTTCCAGTCCTCCTTGCTCTTGTAACTTGAAGTCTCTGCTGCCTGGAATTTACTTGCTCAAGCACTATGTTGAGTTTGGTCCAAGCAGTGCTCTCTGGAAGCCTCCTCTTCCCTCTGCTGCCCGGCCTTGGGTGAGATGGCCCGCCTCTACCCCAGGTGCTCCTTTAGGGACTCCCATTAGAAGGACAGCCAGTAGAGTGGGCACTTGTGCCCTTGGTTGTTGACTGAAGAGCTTGTGTCTCACGTCATCGCCTTGGGCAGCTGCTTGCTCATCTTCCCCAGCCCCTAGCAGGACGGGTGGTACCGGTGCACACAGCCCCTCTCTGATTTTCTGTTGCACAAATGAAAATACAAACTAATAATGACAGTAACTGCTAAGGCCCAAAGCACTTAGCATGTGCCAGGCCCTATTCTAGAAACATAACACATGTGAAACCAGTTGATCTTTGGCCCCATGCCTGTGCTGGTTCTGTCCTCTGCCCATGTGAAGTGCCGGGGCCCTCTATTCTCAGGTTGGGAGGGGTGCCTCAAGGTGGGTGGATGGAGCTGCTACCCAGTTTGTGCACAGCCCCAGGGAACAATAGATTTGTTTGAAGAGGAGGAAGGAAAGGCAGGCTCTGCCCCCTGCTGCTGGGTGGGGGTGCATTGGTTTCTGGTCGCTCTGCTCTGCGGGCACGGATTATCTTCAAAGCAGGTAATTGGAATTAAGTAAATCAGCTGTGGGCTGCACATCCTGGAGCTTAAGGCCTCCAGGACTTTGATTTCAACCTGGAAAGCTCCAGGGAGCTGGAGCCACGCAGGCGGGGGGCACTGTGCTGGGTGAAACGTTTTGTAAGTAGGTCACAGGAAAGAAAGTGAAGGCCCACAGGCTCCTTCCCACAGCATGTCAGAAGAGAAAGTGGGGCAGAGGCCGTGTGAGACCCTGAGCCACGCAGGGGCCCCAGCTGCAAGCTTTGTCCTGGATGGTAGAGCCAGGGACATGGAGTTCCCGGGTAGGGCCCACGACCAGCTAGACACTGCCCAGACTGACCGCGATCATTGCCCCACCAGCGGCATTATGGAGGCAGCTCCTGAGCCTTGACTATGCCGAGCCCCACACTAAACACTGTGTACCTTATCTCAGTTAATCCCGGCAGCGCCCCTCTGAGTGGGGTTATTTAGTGTCTCAGTGGTTTTGTTTTTTTGTGTTTAATCTGGTTTCTATGATCGGTGTTCCTGGGAGAGTCTGGGAGGACAAACCAGGGAAGAGGAACAGAACGGGTGCGAGGAGCTAGGAGAGGCAATCATCTTTCCTGCGTGGCCCTGGGGTGCCTTGCTCCCTCCCAGGAACAAGAAACGATAGGATGGGATAGGATAATCAACGATGGTTGATTAGTGTTGCTTAAATGCGTTGCAATTAATTCCTCTCCAGTTTTCTGGTGCTCTAGGGCTTAGGCTGGCCTATAAATCTTCGTCCCAGGTTAGTTGTAAAATCTTGATTTATCTCTTAGAATAGGTGTGCTAACGCATTAGTTGGCTTGAATTATTTAAAGTTATCTCAGAAAGGTCTTATTTCTATTGCCCGTCCTGATTTGCACTTTAAATATAGTTCCCTGTAGCAATTCACAGGAATTCATGTTGAAAATAGAAAAGGGAAAATTACTTTTAAACAGCAGTTTGGCATATAAGAGCATGATTTACCTTGGAATAGTTCTCCAACTGCACATTAAGGCCAAGCTTTCAAGAATATTTTTTCCCCACTGAATCTGGAAATTAGTATGAAGCCAAACAGCAAACATCCAGCCCCAGGTGGCCCCTCCCTTTGGCAGAGTTGGGGGATCCTTTCCTCCTTCCCCCGACCCCTCAGCACGCAGTGTTAAAGTCCCACTGTGTGACAGGTAATTTCTTACCTCACTTGCTAATTTTTATCACTTTCTCCTCTAATTTTATCATTTCTCCTTCATTTGTACCAACTGTAAAAGCCTGGATTTTGTGGGTAAGAATTTTGTAAAGGATTCATTATTTTAAGATTGGATTTATTAGTGGTATAGCATATTCTGTGCCTTCAAAATGCATTTGGTTCCTTGGTGATTTGTTTTATTTTGATTATGGAAACATAAATATAAAACCAACTAGTATTTTTTTATATTTAATGAGGATTATCTTGCCATGTGATTTGCTCTTATACCTGAAAGTAACTGATGCATTTTTTTACCTTAGTGCTTTATTTTTTTTAAAGTAAGCTTTATGCCCAACGTGAGGCTTGAATTCATGACGCCAAGATCAGGAGTCACATACTTCTTTGTTACTGCTTTAAACATTGTATACTTTATTTCTGTGATGGGGAAAAAGGAGTTCTTAATTTCACAGCAGAGTGTGATAGGGACAAGTGACAGTTTTGTATGGTTTTGTTTTTGTTTTTTTTTCTTTTTAAAGGATATTTTAAATCTAGGCCTTTGTGGTTTTGGAGGGAACTAAAATCTAGTTTACTCTCACTTCAGTTAAGCGTTGCCTGAATAGAGGTATGCTGTCTTGATTATGACAAGGAGGATTTGTGGAAGTCCCTTGATTTATTGGGAATGTCATCCCTCCATGTGATTCCTACGTGAAACATTATCAAATGACATTAGCTGATTACTTATGAAAGGTGATGTGTTAGTAACTTGCAGAACTGATAACCAAATAAAGACGTCTTCTTCAGTATAGAGTCTGCATTCTAAAGGGCTTTTGTGTTGACATGCTCTTCCTTTTACATAGCCATCTGGCCTGCAAAAAAAGTGAGGAAAACTAAATCCTGGTTATTAGATGATGAGTAACTGAACGTGTTGAACGTGTTAAACTGAGAAGGTTGTTTTTTTTTTTTTTTTTTTTTTTATCTTGACAAAAGAGGGAATTCTAGCCCAGAGAGCTTTAACTGTCTGTGTTTGGAATTAAGAATTGATGGAGTCAGCAGAGACGGATTTTGGACTCAGAGTCGTGTCTTAGATTGACCACAGTTGTTATATCCTGCAAGTTGTTGGAATGTTCTGTTTCTTGGAATTCTGTGGTGCTGAGTGATATTAACATGTTGTGACTTCCCTATATGATATTCATTAATAATTCTATTTTTGATATCTTCTTGAGGGTTTTAAGTGTGCATGCTAGTTTGGAGGTAAATCAAATATGACAAAGCCAAGGAATTAAATACCCAGACGCAGAATTTAAAATGGTGTTTGGGGTTAAATCTCTCCTTTCTTCTTAGAATTTAATGAATGATTTGGGCTTCACGGTTGCCTTCTTGTGTGTGTGTGTGTGTGTGTGTGTGTGTGTGTGTGTGTGTAAAATGAGAAAGTAGGTCCTACTGAGAATAAATTGGTGTTGGGAGGACACACTAAATTCCTTCAATTTGCTTGGTGGATGCTACCTAGTGTAAGGAGTAGACAGTCCGTAAATGATGGGATCCTAGCGCCATTGTAAAGACTTGTATTGATTGATTGATTGATTTGATAAATATTTATTGACCTTCCTCTGTGTGCTGGCTGTGTTCTAGGTATGGGGCAGGCAGTTAATAAAACCACATTCCTGCCTTCATGGAGCTTACAATAAACTAATATGTAAGACAAGCAATAAACAAATATAAGTATGTATTATGGTAGTAAGTGCTCTGGAGAAAAAGAGAGTGAGGAAGGTAAGGAGGGGTGGAGTTGGGGATTATTATTTATAAGAGGTGGTCTCAGGGAGGCCTCCCGTAACATCTGCTGTTATCCAAATTCCACAAATAGAGGTTCATTTGGCTTACGTTTTAATTTCCCCCTGCCTTTTGAAATGTCATCCTGTAAATGGAAATGATTAAACGATGTCAGTCATTTGCATCTTCATGTGAATGCTTTTGATTATTTCCTTTGAGTACATGTTAATGGAGAGAGAATTTGAGGCAGCGATGTCTGGGAGTCGGGGTGGGATTGGAGGGGTTGGAATGGAGGAAGTTGTCTGCTGCTTTTCAGGAGGGTCTCCTCCGTTAGCCCGGGAGACCTACCGCTGAACCTACCGCTGAAGCCCCTCGTGCTACATTACTGCTCCGTGGAAGTGGTTGTCCAACACTTTTCGTACGTTACTGCTCTATGCCATTGCCCATTTCTCCTGGGGACGCTCACTGGAGAAAGCAAACTCTATTAGGTGCTTTCCTCTTAGCTCCTCAGGAGAAATGCACTATCAAATTGAAGTATATTATTTTTTTGTCTGGTTAACCTTCCCGACTGTTGGGTTTATTATTTTGCTTTGTATTTTCAAAGTGTTACTGGCATGTTGTTATGATGATGCTGATGATTTTGAATGTAGAGCCTAGGTGTGTCTGTAGGGATATCCTTATCTGTTTATGGGCTCCAACTCAAAACATGCAGTCCTTATAAATAGGGAGTGATTTTAATTCCCCTCACTCTCCTGGCCCTGTGCGTTAGTGGGCTCTTTTAAGTCTCCCCTGCGTGCGGCAGCATTATCTGCACCACGCTTCTAACCTGGCAGCCCCTGAGACTGAAAGCTTGCCCCAGATTTAGCTCTGTTGCCTGCCAGGCTCTGGAAGCGATTGTGTGAGTAGGAATTTGTACTGCTTCCCTCTAGATTCTCAGGAATTCCCCTTCGCTTTAGAAGGCACCAGAATCGAGGTTGCTAAGAGGGTGTATTTTGCACGCATCTATTTTGTAGTTTCTAGCCATTGACACAAATGGTATACAGATTCTAATTTCTTTGGTGTAGTATTTTTCTCGCTTGGTAGCCTAAGCATGTTGGCTTCCCAGCGGTGAATAATTTCAGGTCCGGAGATGAAGGTGGCCTGCCGTGCTGGTTTGTAGCAATGCAGCTGCTTTTAAAAATGAGCAAAGTATGTGTTATTAAAGTACCCCCTTTTTTCTTTTCTCATTTTAAGCACAACTGTTGAATGTGAGAATAAATCTTAATTGATAATTTTAATGGAAAAATGTTTTCTTTTTTCCAGCTTTTGCTTTGGTTTCTGAAGATACAAAGAAAGAGGTCAAGCAATCTAAGGTACTATTCTCATGATCAAATCTATTCTTCCTGTCTGAGATTCATTTGTATTTTCTTTAATGGGAGCTGTAATGATTTCATCTTTCAACAGTTACCATTTTTTATTATCAGTTAATGAAATGTTGGTCAGCCATAGATTTTTAATCCCTACAGATAAGCTTGCTTTAAAAAAAAAGTCCTTTAATAGTTAAAACAGAACAAATAGGTTTCAAATTTTAAGAAAAAGTATTTTGAAACGGAGTTAGACATTTTAGAAGTCTTGCTTGGATACCGTAGTTTTCTCTAGTCTGACCACATCTAAACTTGGGCCTCATTTTTCCAGTCTGAGAAAGGAGTCTTATGCTATGTCCCTGGGGTCACAAGAGCCTGAGTATCCCTCTCCCTGAAGGTGGCACTATGTGAGAGTCCCCAAAGGTGACTGCCAGGCTTCTTGCACAGTCAGACCTAGGAACTGAGACCTGGGGGACTGATGGAGACAGGACAACACTTACCCAAATCTCAGAGCTGCTGCTTTTTTCATTATCAATTTCATTCAAGAACTTTGCCTCATGTTTACCATTTAGGCTTTGCACTAGATGAATTTAGGAGATGAGAAGGAGAAACAGTATTTTTTTTAAAGAGAAACAATATTTTAAGAATATGAATTGTCTTTATCATATTAGTTAAGGCTCAGTTGACTTTATTTTTTATCCCACAATTAGCGTAAAAGCATTTTTTAAAAGGATGTTTCTTTGGTCACCAGAGTATTATCTGTTCTAACTGTACTGTGGGTTTCCTATGCAGGAACAATAATAATGATTTCCTTTGGTTTTAAGATCCTTTATGGTTAATAAAACACTTTCAGACATTTCATTAACTTGATCTTCTCAATGATCCTGTTATTGCTAAGCAAAACAGATATTCCCATGTATTGGCCTACCTTGGGGATAGCGTGGGTTTGGTTCCAGACCACTGCAATAAAGCAAATACCACAAGAAAGCGAATACTGCAATAAAGCGAGTCAAATGAATTTTTTTTTTTTTTTGGTTTTTAGTGCATAATGAAAGTTGTGTTTACACTGTACTGTAGTCTGTTAAGTGTATAATAGCATTATGTTTAAAACATATACCTGAATTTATTGCTAAAAAAATTATGCTAACCATCACCTGTGCTTTTAGCGAGTCCTAATCTTTTTGCTGGTGGAGGATCTTGCCTCGCTTTCGATGGCTGCTGACTGATCAGGGTGGTGGTTGCTGAAGGCTGGGGTGGCTGTGGCAATTTCTTAAAATAAGACAATAAACTTTGCCCCATCGATTGACTCTTCCTTTCACAAATGATTCTTCTGTAGCGTGTGATGCTATTTGATAGCATTTCATCCACAGTAGAACTTCCAAAATGGAGTCAGTCCTCTCAAACCCTGCTGCTGCTTTGTCAGCTAAGTTGATGTCATATTCCAAATCCTTTGTGGTCATTTCAACAGTCTTCACGGTGTCTTCACCAGCAGATTCCATCTCATGAAACCACTTCCTTGGCTCGTCCATGAGAAGCAACTCCTTATCCGTTCAAGTTTGATCATGAGATGGATCCATCTTCAGGCTCCATTTATTTATTTATTTTTTAATTGAAGTAGAGTTGACACACAATGTTACATTAGTTTCAAGTGTACAACATTGTAAGTAGACAAGTCTGTACATTCTGCTGTGCTCCCCACAAATGGAGCTCCCGTCTGTCACCATACAACACTATTCCAACACCATTGACTATACTCCTTGTGCTGTGCCTTTCATCCCCGTGACTTACTCATTCCACAGCTGGAAGCCTGTCCCTCTCTCTCCCCTTCATCTGTTTTGCCCATACCACCACCCCCCACCCCCCATTCCATTTCTAATTCTAGTCCTCTTGCTATTTCCACCACAAATGCAGTTAGTCACTGCCTTTACTGAAGTCTTGAATCCCTCAGAGTCATCCACGAGGGTTGGAATCAACTTCCTTCAGACTCCTGTTAACGTTCATATTTTGTCCTCTTCCCATGAATCATGAATGTTCTTAATGGCATGTAGAATGGTGAATCCTTTCCAGAAGGATTTCAATTTTCTTTGCCCGGATCCATCAGAGAATCACCATGAGATCATTAGCCTCATGAAATGTGTTTCTTTTTATTTATTTATCTTTTATTTTAAAGAATTTTAATTCCAGCGTATTTAATATAGAGTGTTATATTGTTTCAGGTGTACAATGTAGCATTTCAACAATTCCATATATTACTCAGTGCTCAGTGTACTTTTTTTCTTTTTTAAAGATTTTATTTATTTGAGAGAGAGCATGAGTGAAGGGGGAGGGGCAGAGGGAGAAGCAGGCTCCCCGCTGAGCAGGGAGCCCAATGCAGGACTTGATCCCAGGATCCTGGGATCATGACCTGAGCTGAAGGCAGACACTTAACTGACTGATCACCCAGGCACTCAGTTTAGCTTAATTCTTAAGAGCCCTAGGATTTTTGGAGTGGTCAGTGAGCATTGGTATCAGCTTCAAGTCACCAGCTGCATTAGCCTCTAACAAGAGAGTCAGCTTGTCCTTTGAAGCTTTGAAGCCGGGTACTGACTTCTCCTCTGGAGCTGTGAAAGTCCTCGATGGCATCTTCTTCCAGTAGAAGGCTGTCCCATCTACACTGAAAGCCTGTCGTAGAGTGTAGCCACCTGCATTGCTATCGTAGATGGACCTTCTGGAGAACTTGCTGCAGCTTCTCCTACCAGCCCTCGCTGCTTCACCTTGTGCTTTCTCTTGTGGAGCTGGCTTCTTTCCTTCAACCTCGTGAACCAACCTCTGCCGGCTTCAGACTTTCCTTCTGCAGCCTCCTCACCTCTCTCAGCCCTCACAGAATTAGAGAGCTAGCTAGGGCCTTGCTCTGGATTAGGCTTCGGCTTAAGGGAATGCTGGGGCTGGTTTGCTCTCCTCTCCAGACCACTCGAACTTTCTCCACCTCAGCAGTAAGGCTCTTTCTCTTTGTTATCATTCATATGTTCACCGGAGCAGCACTTAATGTCCCTCAAGAACCTTTCCTTCACATTCCCAGCTTGGCTGATGTTTGGTGCAACAGGCCTAGCTTTGGGCCTATCTCGGCTTTCAACATGCCTTCCACGCTAAGCTTAACCATTTTTAGTTTTTGATTTAAAGTGAGAGACACGTGACCTTTCCTTTCATTTGAGCACTTAGAGGCCACTGTAGGGTTACTAACTGGCCTAATTTCAGTATTGTGTCTCGGAATAGGGAGCCCAGAGAAGAGGGAGAGAGAAGGGAGAACAGCCAGTTAGTGGAACAGTCAGAACACACGCACCATTTGTCAATGAAGTTTATCCTCTTTTATGGATGCAGCTCGGGGCACCCCAGAACAATTACAATAGTGATATCAAAGATATCAGCGTAACAAATGTAATCATAGTAATCATAATGAAAAAATTTGAAATATTGTGAGGATCACCCAAGTGGGACACAGAGACACAAAGCAAATGCTGTTGGAAAAAAAGGCACCGATAGACTTGCTGGATGCAGGGTTGTCACAGACCTTCAGTTTGTAAAAAACTCGGTATCTGCAAACCGTGAGAAAGCGAAGCACATTCTCCCTCTGACCCTCTTCCCTCCCGTGCTTTCTATCTCTCATTCTCTCTGTCTCTCAAATAAATAAATAAAATCTTTAAAAAAAAAAAAAAAAGGGCGCCTGGGTGGCTCAGTTGGTTAGGCGACTGCCTTCGGCTCAGGTCATGATCCTGGAGTCCCGGGATCGAGTCCCGCATCGGGCTTCCTGCTCAGCAGGGAGTCTGCTTCTCCCTCTGACCCTCTTCCCTCCCGTGCTTTCTATCTCTCATTCTCTCTCTCTCTCTCAAATAAATAAATAAAATCTTAAAAAAAAAAAAAAAACGAAGCACAGTAAAAGGAGGCATGCCTGCATAGCAGAAAAAACTTAGCCTCAAAGAAGTTATGTGATTTGACTGAGGTCACATGGCACTTAAAAGGCATCTGGATGGCTCAGTTGGTTAAGCATCTGCCTTGGGCTCAGGTCATGATCCCAGGGTCCTCGGATGGAGCCCGGCATCTGGAGCTCCCTGCTAGGCCGGGAATCTGCTTCTCTCTCTCCCTCTGCCCCTCCCCCCTGCTCCTGTGCTCTCTCCCATTCTGCTCTCTCTCAAATAAAATCTTTAAAAAAAAAAGTGAAGTCAGAATCTCAATTTCTTGAATCCTTGAATTTTTCATACTGTAATTTTATATAGCTGTGTGCATTATAATGTGTATGTGTGTTTGGCAATAATAAAACTCATTTGTAATGAATTTAAAGTGCTACCTAAGGGATATTGATAGGGAATTAAAATTTTGTGTAATGAATTGAGAATTATAACCTATACTTTCAAGCATAGGTTCTAACCCACCTTTTCAAATGGGGAAATATATATGTATCTGTCTTCTTAAATATATATATATAGATAGAAATAAGGTGAGTCTTATATCTTCGTGTCACTTTTCATGCAAAGGTATTAAAGTCCTTGAAAAATACCATTAACCCCATCTGTGCTTAGGCCACGGAGCCAAAAAAACCGTTAATCCCCTGAGGAGAGGCAGTGATAAAATGTCTAGACCATACCCGAGACTGGGAACTGGGGAAGAATTCATTTGTCCAGGCTTGCCCAAAGTCTGTAGATGAACCTGGAGATAGGAGTTAAGGCTCTTACCAACAACCACGTTAATTTGGGATTATCATTAGTTGATCACCCTCGGCAGAGCTGATCAGGACCTGCCGGGCCATGCTGTTCAGAAGCAGCCACCTTCCCTGCCCGTCACTTCATTGCTTGCTTTAGAGTGGGGCCCCAGGCAGCGCTCTCTCCGAATGCAGCATCCCTGCTCAGGGTTGGGGGCCCGCCCCACACATCAGGGCATCTGGTGGCTTCACATCCAAATTCTGGGTGCTGCCCCTGTCATATCTCCTGGGGCCTGACCTCTGGGCCTAGGCTCCTCTTCTGGATTCCTGGTCCCTGGCACTGACCCAGATTCTGACCTAGCTCAGCTTTCAGGGGAGGCTGCCCAGCCAGGCTCGAACTCCACCCCCTCAGCCACGGCGCCCACTGCTTCAGTCTGTAGTCTTTCTTGCCCAGACTTACACCCTGTGGTGGCTTATGATACTGTATCTTGTGTCATGTAGGGGTAGAGTTGGACACTGTGGTTCACGTTCCTCCTCCAACACATATGCTGTGGGACTTACTGACCCTCTTGGCCTCGGTTTCCTCATCTAGGAGATGGGGTAATAGGACCTATACCAAAAAGCTGTCTTGAAGATTGTGTGTGTGTGTGTGTCCACCACTTGAAACAGTGCCAGACCCTATTTAAATGTGTACCTGATAGGACAGCAAGAAATACCTACACAGCCTTGTGAGAGGAATCTTAAGCAAATCCACGTAAAAAAGAGGAACCATAGACCTTACTGCTTTTATCAGTTAAATTTCTTTTATGGTGTTAGTTGACTTCATATGAAGTAGATGATGTTCATGATTTAAAAAGACTAGTAGTTAACAACTGTTGAGCATTCTCTTTGGGCAGACGGTCCGCTCAGCATTATATAACCTAATGAAATTCCCACAATGACCCTGTGATGTAATTATTCTTCCTGTTTACAGATGAGAAGGCCTGAGCTAGTAAATGGTGGGGGCAGAGTTAAAAACCAGGACCAGCCTTTAGTGAGTCCACTGATGAACGCATCTTGACCAATTCATTTTATTCAATGTCTAGGGGGGTGGTGGTTGTTTGTGACTGGGTACAAGATGCCATTTTACTTCTCTTCGTAAAAGATTTCCTATCAAATTCTTGGGAGGATGTTTTATCTTCTTTTCATGAAGGCTTTGTAAACAAGGCCGTACATATGTGGATTACAGGTGTTCAAATCTATCGTGCCTTCACAAATAAAACCTGTACCAGGGGGTGACTTGGATTTGTCTTTTCCCAGCTAGGGTAGGAGCTGCCTGTGGGGTAGATACGTTAGTAAGAAATCTCTTTCCTATCTGAATAGCAATTTTGTTGACTTACAAAACTGACAGTGAGCACATTTTGACTGATATTGATAGTCAGTGTAAGAAACATGGCAGCAGAGATAATGAAACAAACTACGTGTTTCTTCTTAGGAAGAGCTAAGCCTTTTCGCGAGGAAAGCTGGAGACAGAATTTTAAATGTCCTGTCAATTCGTTCATTTAGTCTAATTTTCTTCCTCAAAGGGGAAATTACTCAAGACCATTTTGGTTCCATTCAGTTCACTTAATGCAACCGTTCTCGGATGTTTTATTTTTACAGTTTACAGATCGAGCTATTCGAAATGGTTAATCATTTCCGAGCTATTGTTTTCAGCCATTTGGAGCCACAGGGCTTAATAACAAATGGAAAGGTGTAATTTTGGTTGATTTTCTTTGGTTTCACAAAGAGATGTGGTAGGAAGTCCAGTTGGTTTCCAGATTAAGTTAGTCAGGAAACACTGAGTTCAGGGTATTTTTTTTTTTTTTTAATCTTTCAGCTTATTGCTTAAGGTGACTTTTGTTGTGGGTATCACTTGGAGCTCACTCTCAAGTGTGCTTTCTTCTGGTGCACGTTTTCCGAAGAATATCTCTAGAGGAAGACAGAGCATGCATTATCCCGTGGGTGGAAAAAAGGAACATTGGGAAGAACTCAGAAGACCTGGATTTTCATCCTGGCTCTGTAGCTAGAATGACTGTTGGACTTTGGGCAATTCCTTTACCTGTTCTGAGCCTCCATTTTCTCATTTGTAAAGGGGGGTGTTGGATTGGATCATCTCTCTTTTTTTTAAAAATCATAAAACACACATAAAATTTACCATCTTAACCATTTCTAAGTGTACAGATCAGCTTTATTAAGGATATTTATACTATCAGGCAGACAATATCCAGGACTCTTTCCATCTCACAAAACAAAATGTCCACATTAAATAAATAGCTCTCTGTTCTCCTTCCCTGGCCCCTGGCAACCATCCCTCTACTTCCTGTTTCTATAAATCAGATGATGCTGTAAGTGGAATCGTACAGTGTTTGTCTTTTTGTGTCTGGCTTATTTCACTTAGCATCATGTCCTCAAGGTACCTTGGTGTAGCATGTGCCAAAATGTCCGTCCTTTTTAAAGCTGAATAATATTCCACTGTGTGTATACAGTATATTTTCTTTACCCACTCCAATGCTATTTTTAAGTCTAAACTTGCACATTTTCCACGATCCTCACCTACCGGCCAGCTTGGGAGTGGGCAGCTTGGCCAAGGGATGGGCAGCAGGTTAGGGGTGAACGCTGAGCGGCATTTCTGGTTCCAGTATTTTTTAGTGGGCTTTTCCAAAAAGTCCGTGTTTTATCAGAATTAAGTGTCACTTGATCCCAAGGCATAACAAAGCAGTACCCAACTATGGGGTTCTCTTCCACTCAATGGTTTCTGTTCTTGAGACAAAGATAATTGTAGGAAATGCTACCAAAGGTAGACACTGTCCTGTTTCCTGTTTCCCTCTCTCCCCTCCCTGTCTATTGTCATGGTCCCTTTGGCATTCTGAGAGGATACATCACTGTGTGTCTGTATCTTGGCTTTTGAGCTGTTCCCAGTTTTGATGGTGAAGGCTCACAAGTGCATTTCTTATTGCAGTCTGTGAAGAAAATTGAAGGATACTTGCCACTGTCCAATTGTTATAATTATAGTGAATGGCAGTTGGAAGCAGAAAAGGGCAATTAGAGAGAAAATTCCTTCCTTGTCTGCTGGAGAAGACCTCGAAAACGGCAGATTTAGCTGCTGACACTTTGCACTTTGTCAGAGAAAACTTTTACGAGCCCCTCCCCTGATCTACCCAGGATCAGGATCGGGTGTTTCTGTGCCCACGTCCGGATTTCCTGTGTCCAGAGCTCTGTAGCTCACGAACCTCAGGCTGCCTGCTCCTTGGGCCCCGTTGAGGCCCCCGGTGCTGCTCCTCAGGTGAAAGAGAACATCGTGGTGATGTTCCGGATGCCATTATGTCGGAGCCCACAAGATGATAAATACCGTAATTAGTGGGGCTCATCTTCATGAGCCACACACTGCCAGCATTGATACTGTCTCTGTTTTGTTTGCCATGCTTTGAGTTCACAGGGTTTTTAAATGAACTCTCCCAAGAACATTGTGAACCAGTTAAGCCTTAGCTTTAGCTCCATTTTACACCGGAGGAAAGAGGCTCAGTTCAATTACGTGACTTACCCAAGAGCACGTAAGAAGTGAGAAAGGGCCTCGTGGGAGGCTCCTGTCATGACGCAGAAGCACGTCTTTGCTCTCTCCCTCCCCTCTCACCGCCCCCCCCCGCCCCAGTTTTAGGGAAGCATTGCCAAGCTCTCCTCTTCTCTGTCTTCCCCCAAATGTTACTGTGTACCATGCATATTTATTTGGTATTTTGCTAGCTTTGTTATGTGAGGAGATTTATCTTTTTCTCTTTTGTCCAAAATACAGAATTTGGAGAAAAGTGGTGTCTCAAGGAAAAATGACATAGGTAAGTAATGATTTTTTTTTAAACTTATGAGTATGTACCCAGGTCTATTTCTTGTAAATTATATTTCAGTGAAATGAATTCTCTTTCTGATTTTATTTAGAAGGTCAGTATTGCTGTGCAAATGTTCTGTCTTGGGCCTGGCCCCACCTCTACCCTCATGAAGACCCGGGGAGAACACTTTTCAGATTGACATCGTGGCATGTGATTTGTACTGGAAACAACAGCCAGTATGTTAGATTGAATTCCCTTGACCCTCATTTATTGAGTTTCCAGTAAGGGTGGAGGACCGGGCCAGGTGGCCACTGCGGGGGTGACGGGGATGAGTAAGACACAGTCTGTCATTCTAGGCCCACACTTAGTGGGAGAAAAGGACTAACCTCTGCCTGGGGCCAGATTCCCCACTTGTGGACTTGCAGACACCACTTTCCCTACCGGTTAGCTTACTAACCACATCTGTCAAACTATCCCGAGAACCCTGGTACAGAAGCAGCTACTTGTGTCATTGTAGACACCCTGTACCTCCATCATGGCCCCTGTGCACCCTTATTTGTCCTCCCTTTCAGTATATTGTAAGCATCTTCAAAAATGTGACCATGAAGTCACAGTTGTTGTTGTTGTTTTCTGGTATTGTGAGAAATATGCCCCAGTGTTTTGACGAGATGATAAGGCTGACGTCTGTGTGTTGGGTCTTTTCCCAAAGGGTGTGAACTTTGTCGATGTTCGTGGTCCCAGGGTAGGCCCTGGGGACCTGAAAGGTGGGTCCTGGACAGGAGAGAAAGGGCACATTTTCGTTTCTAGGCTTCCTTTCGCAGGCCTGGGTTCTGTGGAGTCTAGAAGGCAGGAGATGGCCCCTGAGTGGTATGGGGAGGATGGCCCGTGCTGGGCCCTGGGCATGCATGCCTTCGGCTCCGAAGGAGCTGCGTTGGTTCCTTGCTTTTTCTTCTTTATGTTATGATACCCTGGATGGCTCAGCCACTCCTCCCCATGTGGAGATGTTCTCTCTGCTGCCAACACTTGTGGGTTTGGGCATTTGTTTGTGTGTTTATGAGATTTGATGGGGCTCCTGGGACTCCTTGTAGAAAATGATTATTTTTTATTTTTATTTTTAGAGTTGGGGGGCAGAGGGGAAGGGAGAGAGAATCTTAAGCAGGCTCCATGTCCAGCATGGAGCCTGACATGGGGCTCCATCTCACGACCCAGAGATCGTGACCTGAGCCTAAATCAAGAGTTGGGGGGTGCTTAACCAACTGAGTCACCCAGGCGCCCTGAAAGTCTGAAAATGGTTATTAAATGAATTAATGTCACTAGTCTGGGACATCAGCTTGAAAGTACCAAAGGGAAGTTACCTAGATAAGTAAATTGACATTCTTGAAATTACAAATGGCAAATCTAGTGATATATGATTTGGTATCAGCATATCCAAAAAAGACCCAGGGGCCTTATTTGCCACAGTGTTAACCTGGGTCTACAGGCCCAGGGGATTTGGGGGGGCGGTGTGTTACAAAAGCAGCCTCCCAGAAGAATCAGAGTCTCACCACACTCAGGGTGGGGTAGAATTTTTTCTGTTTTGGCTCACTGCCTCGTCAGTAGATTCATGGGTGACAATTATTCTCACCAAGTTGAGCACAATTGGAGTGGCTCTTCATGTATTGTGTGTGTGCATATTTATTTCTCAGCCTTAAGTCCTAAGGCTGCTTGCTATTTGGCTTTTATCAGAAGAACCCCACATGATTCCTCCTCGGAGAGACAGCAGCAGGATGGAATCCATGTTTCTAGATTACCTTGGACCTGGAAGGATTAGCGTTTAGTAGAGCGTTTGGCACGTGATAGGTGCGCAGCAACTGAGAAAAGGAAAACCTTTGATTTCTTTTTCCTTCGAGGAATTATTATTTCTCCTTCAGGGATCTTTTCTAATGGCCTCCTTGGTTCCATCACCTTTTCTTAATGCTCTGCAACTTACCATTGGCCTCAGACCCACACGGGTTCTTTCCTAGTCTTGACTGATTTCTTTATCTTCCTCTTCTGGCCCATCACGCGGCTCGTTGTTGTCAGGCACTCATTGCACGACCCATTTATTGTACATTCCTGGAGGAGAAACAACGACCATCTGTCTTGAGTTGTGATAGTGTTTGCCGTTGACAAATTGCAGTGAGTTCAGGGGAGTGTGACCGAAATGATAAGGAGATAGGGGGATCATCTTATTGAGCTCTGTTGACCGGGCAGCAGGAGCTGAAGAGTCAGAGGATGGGACAGCGGAGGCAGAGAAGACCACCACCCAGGTGAGCCCTGGGGTCTAGACTCAGCCAGAATGTCATCCAGTTAGGGAGGGCTTAGGATGTCTGTCAGAAAAATATTTCTTGGAGCTGATATAAAGAACATCAGTAATTTAAGTATATAAGCAGCTTTCAGCACCTAACCGTGCTAACCTGGTTTATTTATTATTATTTTTTTCTGGAATGGAGGTGGGGCTGAATGGCTTGTAAATGGCTGTCATTCATTATTAACGGGGTTTTAGGAACTGGGTTAGGTGCACCCTTACTCTTTTGCCTCATCACCAGTAACTGCCCCATATGCATCCTATTTCTCAGCCATGCCTAACTGTTACTGTTTTCAGAGCCCTAATTCCACTTGCTCTCCCACACCTTCATTGTTCCCTCTGTTGCGGAGCTCTTCCCACCTCTTCTGTGGGCATCCCCAGGACACAGGGTCCTCATCGCTTCTTCTGCGAAGGCCCCGCTCTCTGGGGTCCCGGATGGTTCTGTGGCCCTTCCCTGGTTTGAAAGCTATTAATCTAAAGATCCACCCTCTTAGTGTGCACTTAAATCCTTCATGATCTGATCTGGCTGAGCCAGCCTCCCGCTCTGACTTTATCACTGACCATTCCCTTCACCTTTTTCTCAGAAATGCCTGACAGACTCCCCGGTCATCGACTCCTGATGCTGCAGAGAGAAGGCAGGCTGTGGGCTCTGTGATAACCCCACTTCCTTCTCTGCCCTGATCTGCTACCCTCTGTGCCTGAGTCTGCAGAAAATTGCTGCATTTTAAAGGAAACACAGGAAATGCCCCTTTCCAGAAGCTCTCTTGCACTTGCCACCACCCTCCCCCTTCCTCCCATAGTTCCCCGCTTGGCTCTGTCTTATAATGGCTGCCCTCTGACCTCGGCTCAGGCTTGCTCTTGCCGGGGCTGTGCATGCTTCTCTCAGCAGGACAGAACCTTGCACTCAGTACAGACTTAGACGTGTTTGCTGGACGAATGCACATAGCACGTGTGATCAAGGCATGAGAAGAAGGAAGGTGATGATTTCTTAGTAGCAGGAAAAACAAATACAACCCATAGCACGTGACTCAGGTACAAGCAAAGGAGAAGAATTCCCTTTTTTTCTTCTTGCAAAGCCTCTGCCCCATGTGGAAGAACTGTTGTCTTTGTGGGACAGTAGGAATTTTGCTGATGTGGTAGAAGAAAAGGCAGGAGTTGATTACTGCAGGATTAACCTTTTGACAGATGGATTTGCTCTTTTAAAAACTCTATTATGAATTATTTTGAACATATAGGAAGCCGCAAAGAGTGATATAATGAACATCCATGTATCTACCACTTAGTTTAAGAAATAAAACCTTCCTAATATGGCAGGAGCCTTTTAACCATGATCTTGATTTGGTGTTTATCATTCGCATGTTATCTTTTATATTTTCTGATCATATATGATATGTGTATATATATGCATATGTATGGTGTATATCCATCTTATATATATTTGTGCTTATCTTTTCACAAACGATTGATTTTTATTTTTATTTTTTTTAAAGATTTTATTTATTTATTTGACAGAGAGAGAGACTGCAAGAGAGGGAACACAAGCAGGGGGAGTGGGAGAGGGAGAAGCAGGCTTCCCGCAGAGCAGGGAGCCCAATGCAGGGCTTGATCCCAGGACCCTGGGATCATGACCTGAGCCGAAGGCAGACGCTTTAACAACTGAGCCACCCAGGCGCCCCCAAACCATTGATTTATATGGTTATTCCTTTGTAGCTTGCTTTTGTTTTTCAGTCTGTAGGATTCATCTATAATATCCATCTGGATTGATGCATCGAGTGCTAGTTAATTTTCGTTGCTGCATAGTATTCCAATTTGTATGTCTTATTAGTGGGTATTTGAGTTGCTTCAAATTTTTTCCTTTTACACAATCCTGCTGTGAGCACTCTTGTTATATATCCTTGTTTATACATATGCAAGTTTCTCAAGGATGATTAGTAGGAGTGGAGTTTCTGGGTCATCGGGAATGTGCATCTTCAGCTTTATTAAATTTTGTAAAAGTTATTCTCTGAAGTTTATTTCATTTTTAACAAAAGTAAGTCTTTATAACTCCTCTTTTGCTATGTCACTTACATTGTTTTAGATATAGTAGATCAGATCTTACATTTCAGTAGAAACATAAGATACTCGTTTAAGTCTTATCTGTGTGTCCTATTTATAGAGCCAAGAAGCTGATTTGAAATAGAGGTAGGTATGTGGAATGTTCATATTTATATAAACTCCTATAAGAAAAGAATTAGGTCATATTCAGTAGGTTGTTGAGCATTTCCTTTTAAATTTTTTATTGAGTTTTAACCAAAGAGCATTTTGGATTATTTTTAGGATCTAGATGGCTCACTGTGGAGCTATTTATTGTATGAATATTTGAATGATTGAATAAATGAATGGAACTATAGAACTGAACATAACAATAAAATACATGGGATAAAATTAAAACCAGATTATGTCTCTAAGTCGAGGTGTTAAAAGGAAAGGCACAGGGTGGGGGGTAGGTCCCCACGTTCATTGCTGTAAGCCGGGCTGGAGGCTACGGTTTATGTGAAATCTGCCTTTTGCCAATGCCCCTGTCTGGAGGCAGGGCGCTGACCCAATGGCTGTTTCTGTCTGTTGCTTTATTGCAAACTCAGAACCTAACGTGCTTCTCCATTGTGGGGACTGAGCAACCGTCTTGGCTGGCAAGACCTCCGATAGTCTTCCCCGGGCAGTGGGCCTAACATTCGAGGGTTTACTCTGTGCTCGTCATTGCAAGCAAGCTGGCCACTGTGAGGCGAGTCTCTAGGGGGCTGGCAGATGCTTCCAGTGTTGTTGTAGATGGGCTTTTATGCCACACTTCTTGCTGAAGCCGTGCTCCTGTGGAATTGTGGCTGTTTTCCTGGAGTTCACACTTAATTCTGGCTAGGTGCCCTGTGAGGTAGAGTAGAGATTATGGAGTTATTTATTTGCAAGCTCTCATGAACTGATGGGACAGAAGCAGTCACTGTTGAGCATCACCTTGAAGAGCCATCCAGAACATTCTTGAGATAGTGTTATTAGTTTGCTAGGGCTGCTGAAATGAAGTACCACAGATTGTGTGGCTTAAACAACGGAAATGTGGCTCATAGTTCTGAAGGGTAGAAGTCTGAGCTCAAGGTGTGAGCAGGGTTGGTTTCTTTGGAGGCCTTTCTCCGTGACTTGTAGATCCAGTGGTTTCACATCATCTTCCCTCTGTGTGTCTGTGTCCAGATTTCCTCTTTGTGTAAGGACACTAAATATACTGGATTAGGACCCCCACCAACAACCTCACTTTAACTTGAGTGCCTCTCTGTAGAGACCCAGTCCAAGTAAGGTCACATTCCGTGGTCCTGGGGGTTAGGACTTAAACTGATGACATTTGGGGGACACCCTTCAACCCATAACAGGTAATGGTGCAATGTAGGATTATGTGTGGCTTGTTAGAAGGCTAGCAGCAAACAAGATTTTCACCTACTGGGGAGGTTAGTGTTGTAGACATTTTCATACTTTCTCACATTTACCGTCATTGTTTCGACAGATGCAGGAGTGGATTCACAGTTTGTTGCCACAGATTTGATCTAGTACAGTGAGCTTATTTACTTGCTAACTTCTAGGGAGGATGTTTCAGAGATCAGTTTAAAAAGAGATTTTTGTTGCTATGATTACATTTAAATTGATTTTTTTCCCTAAGAGTTTATGGCCTGAAAGCTTGCCTTGTAGCTTTTTTTTTTTTAAACTTGTTTTTAAGTGTATTTCAGTTGTTGAAAAATAAATACCTGAAAACACTTTTTTTCCTTTGGTTCTAGATTTAAAAGGAATTGTATTTGTCATCCAGAGTCAAAGTAATTCTTTTCATGCAAAGAGAGCAGAACAGTTAAAAAAAAGCATCTTAAAGCAAGCAGCAAATGTTACACAGGTATGTAATGATGGCTGGGATGTCTTCTAGTTACTTATTTGTTGTTACTCTCATGTTTTCCAAAGTACTCCATCCATAGAGAATCCGTTTTATTTAGATGAGTAATTCTTCTGACTTGTTTTGCTTATTTAATACTGACTTGTTTAAAATGCTGTTGTTAATTCCTGATGCTCAATGCATCATCTTCTAAATTCTTATTTTTTTTTAAATTTAAGAGACTTGCATAATTGTGTAGGACTGTTGTGGTTTTGTCATAAAGTATGATAAGAAGAAGTGAAAGGAATAATATTTTAAAAGGGCTTAAAATAGCAGGGATAATTAATATTCAAAATTTTAATACCAGGTTCTAAGGCAATTTTCATGTTGAAGTAACATTTTCATTAACCTTAGTGTTTCCTCCATGAGTCTCTTAATCTGTTTTTTAATTGGATATCATTAATTGGACTTTTGGGTTGATTTGTAATGTAATATCCAAGAAGGATTATGGAGAGAAAGATCGACACATACAGGTACATATTTTAATAAAGTTTAAAATAGGCATGAACTGAATCTAAAGCTGCTATGAATAATGCTGGAGGTTTGAGTAAAGGAAGATCTACCTTGTCTTGCCATGGAGGTGCTTTCTTTAGCCGAGCAAAAAAAAGTCCCCCAAGCCTGCTTGCTACGCTGCATTGCTATGGCCTTCAAGACAGACGTGCTTGTCTGTAGATGAAGGCCATTCCTCAGCTCTGTCGGCAAGAACTCTTTGACAGGAGACGTGTATCTCTGATGCATTGCTTTCTTTCTGTTGGTGGGTGCTGGGAAATAAAGGATTGGAAATATCAATGGACAAATTAGCCTTAATGGTATTCAAGGCTGAGACACTGCTGAGCATAAGGTTTAGTTGTGCTTAACCTTTAAATGTTTTACCTGTAAAATTCATCCAACCTCCCAGCATCCTCACAAGGACAGGTCTTTGCCTCCCCTCCTTGGAGGATCATACTTTCTCAAGGGAAAGGAAACACTGGCATGGTTGAAGACAGATTGTTTTTTGGTAATTGGAGATAGGTGCAGGTGATGAGTTTAAAATACTTCATTTGGAAACCCAACTTTGGAGATATCCTTCTACTAAACCTTGTCTGGTTTCATCAGAGAGGCAGACATGCAGCAACCTTGACTGGATGGCCTTCTTCCATTTGCTCTGGTAAGGGCACCAGTGGAGCAGCCAAATGGAGGCCAAGGTGGGGAGGATGGGGAATTGGTAGCCTGAATAAACCCTCAGTTGGGTCCAGACAGGCATTAATGGAATTTAGCTCAATTGGGCCTTGGCAATTACCCCAAATTGCATAATCAGTGATGATACCAGGACAGACTTATGTATCCCTTACTCATATGAATTAAGAGCATGTGTATCTTATGTAACCGTATGTGTCCTTGTTCTCCAAAATACCTTCCATCTTACTGAGGCAGAGTCATGTGTTTTAGATTATATATCTTCCCCATTTAATCCAGGTTGTTCTGCTTTTTCTTCCTCCATAGCACCTTAAATATAATGGGTATTCAACATATGGCAGTTGAATTGAATCCAGAGGAAATTGAACAAATTAAAATGAAAATTTAAGTAAATTATTTTCTCTATTTAAAAACTTTTTTTGTTAATTCTTAAGTTGATAGTGGTGAATCCCTCTCATATTAACTAGAGTAGCTATTTTACTTCTCCCAGTGAAACAACAGAATGTAGAGAAAAGAGTAGAGTGAAAAATTGAGTATGAGTTGGTGCTAGGAAAATATGATCTCATGAGTAAGTGAATCTTTGAGAGACAATATGGAAAAGAAGAAGAAGAAGAAGAAAAGAAGAAAATTCACTTGACTACTTTAACAACATAGCAATGACTTAAGGAAGGTAGAGATTTACTTCCCCTCACAAATAGTCCATTGGTGGGTGGGCCAGGGATTGACAGCTCTGCACCAGGATCCTTCTGTTTTGTTACTTTCCCATGGGCTAAAGTGTCTTGTCCTCATCGGCATGGTTGGAACTGGTTAACTACCGTGACATTGGCATTCTGGTGTATGTAGGACAGTTTCCTTTTAAGGATATGAACTTGAAGTGGTAAAATGTCATTTCCATCATTTCCCCCTACATCCCATTGTCATGTGGGCACACCTAGGCTGGGAAAGGTAATATCTAGTTGGGTGGCCTTTGGATCCAGCCAAAACGCAAGGAGTTCTAATTACTGAAAGCAAGAAGGTGGTTCTAATCACTAAAAGGAAGAAGAGACAAATTGATTTCACTGCTAAAGTCAGGATTTTGTTTACACATCAAGGACTCACCTAGTCAATAGAATTTATCTATGAACCTCTCATTCATTCATTCATTCATTCATTCAGTATTTACAGAGCAAAGCACTGGGCATGCAGGCATCAGCAAAGCATAGTCCTTGAGCTTGAAGAGTCCACAGTCCAGGAGAGGAGACGGGCCCATACCCGGGCAATTTTAAAGCAAGGCGGAAGTGCAGAAAGACAAGTACTGCATGATTCCACATACATGAGGTATCTAAAACCATCAAATTCATGAAATCAAAGACCAGGGCGGTGGTAACCAAGGGAGGACCAGGGGAGGGGGAAGTGAGGAGTTAGCAACAGGCATAAAGTTTCAATTACATAAGATGACTAAGCTCTGGGATCTGCACTCCAGCATTGTACTCTGTTGTACACTAGAAAGTTGTTGCGAGGACAGAACTCATGTTAAGTGTTCTTACCACAGTACAATAAAAATAAATAAAAAATCAGGTACTAGTGAGGTTAAAGAGGGGGAGGGAGCAGGGAGGGTTTCTCTGTAGACAGCCAGGTGAAGGCAGCCAGGTGAGAAACAGGAACATGGTGCAGAGGAGGCGGGCAGTGTGTGTGCCACAACCCAGAAGGTTAGGTAGGGACCCGACCGCAGAGGAGCTGTATGTCCTCTTAAGGGCCCAGGCCTTTCTCAGGGCCTCTCAGGAAGGCACTCCGGGCATTTGAGAACTACTTCTTGGAGATCCAGGACATTTAGCATCTCTGGCCCCAGGAGGAACCCACAGTCACTGTTACTACAGGTACCGCCAGTTGAAAGCAGCTGCTAAGGAGAGCCATGAGGGCCTCTGCATGTCAGCTCTGTATTTTATTTTATTTTATTTATTTTATTTATTTTTTTAAGATTTTATTTGAGAGAGAGAGAATGAGAGATAGAGAGCACGAGAGGGAAGAGGGTCAGAGGGAGAAGCAGACTCCCTGCTGAGCAGGGAGCCCGATGTGGGACTTGATCCCGGGACTCCAGGATCATGACCTGAGCCGAAGGCAGTCGCTTAACCAACTGAGCCACCCAGGCGCCCTCAGCTCTGTATTTTAAAACCCTCACTCCAGTGGCTGTGAGGAGGGCAGCTGAACAGACTGGAGACTGGGGCAAGGAGCCTAGTCCACGGTCGTTGGGAGCTGTCCAGGGTGATGCTGCTCAAAGTGGGGGTGCAGAGCTCTGCTGGTGCTTCGTCAAAGGCAGTGTGAGAGGCACTGGGCCGGGGGCGAGGGGTGGAGCTGGCTGGGGTGCTGGTGGTGGGGCGGTGTGTGAGGCCAGAACCGGGGCGGTTGGGGTGAAGGGCTGAGAAGTCAGGACCAGTGCCCAGCTAGGGCTGAGGTGGGGTGGGGCGGGGCCGCCATCTGAGGTGCAGGATGGGATTCGCAGGTTTGCAGGATACAAGATGGCTTCAGGTTTCTATCCATGAAGTCTGAGGTGGAGGTGTCAGGTGCTGGAGGCTGGATATTTGCTTGAAACTCAGAACAGTTTGGCCAGAAGGTGGTGGCTTTGGAATCAGGAACATACATAGGTAGTGGCCGAGAGCTTGAAGGTACTTCTTCCAGGGGAGCAGCGGGATCCTGGGGAAAACCAGGGTTTGGGGACTGGGCAGAGCAGAAGCCCTCTGGTGACGTAGGAGTGTGTGAGACACCGAGAAGGGGCGTCGTCTGAGGTCAGGGAACCTGAAGGAATAGGCTTCCAAACAGTGATCAGTACTGTCTTGTTCCCTAGACTGGACTTGTAAGACAGGGTCTCAGAAATGCCCATTTCACTGGGCTGTATTGTGGGGATTTCTGCCTGTGTACTTCAGGAGGCGTCCCTACTCAGAGCGCTTTGCTGGTGCTGGTGCTCTTGTTATTTCTATTTTTAATTGTGGTTTAAAAAAAAAAAAAGAAAAGTGTGTAAAATTTGCCCTCAACCCTTTTTAAGTACTATAAAGCACATTCACATTGTGTAACCAATTTCCAGAACTCTTTGTCTTCCCAACTGAAACTGGATCCATACCCATTACACAACAACTCTACATTTCCCTTGTCCTCAGCCCTTGGTAACCACCCTTCTTCTTTGTCTCTGTGAATCTGACTACTCTATGTACCCCATGTAAGTGGCATCATATAGTATTTATCTTTTTTTTTGAACTGGCTTATTTTACTTAGCGTAACGTCCTCAAGATTCATCCGTGTTGTAGCATGTGACAGGGTGTCCTTCCTTTTTATGGCTGAATGTTTATTATTGTTACTTTGACAGCCTTGGTTCGCCGTGATGGACTGCAGGACGGCCGCCACTTTCATGGATGCTCCTTTGGTGTTCCATGTGGGCTCCCCTGCAGTGCCCTTTCTCCTCCAGGGCATCTGTCCTGCCTTCAGAATCCAAAGGGAGGCAAGACCTGCTCTGTACTTATCTTTGTATCCCCCGAGGCACCTCATGTAATGCTGCCCGCGGACAATATTAGAAACTGCATTTTTCACTGATAGATTTTTCTCAGCTTTTAAAGCTTAGAAAAAAGTTCCATTTCACTCAAGTATTTACCCTTTCTAGCACTTAATTTTATGCTTCTATTTTCAGTTTGCTTATACTTAATTTTTATTGTCCTTTCTGTTTACAGCTTGCACGTTAGACATGTTTAGGAGCTGTCTTAGATTGCCACTAGGTGGCAATATTGGTTTTACGTTTAAAGACACGTAATTAAGCAACATCG